CCGAGGCCCGGACTCCTTGGCGGTGGTCGCGAGCCGTTCCCACAGGATCTCGAATTCAGGATCGTAGCGGGTTGAAACGTGTCTCTTCTCTGCCATAGCTGATGCGGACTTTTCCCCGGGTCGGAAATCTCGCATATTTATACCCCACTGATGGTATATAAACTTTACCCCGCTCGGGGCAGGAACGATTCGTGACTCCGCGTGATTCATCATATTTTCAATTTGTCTGGTAAACTTGCTTTGTTTAAAACGTCTTAGTTGTTGTCGGTCTCGTCGGTTTCGTCGGTTTTGTTTATGTCGTTGTCCGATGCCGGCTTTAAATCGTGTATGTGTATATGTCGATGTTTCTCCTCCACTTTCCCCGGTCGTCGCGCAAGTCGAAAACTATCGGAGATATTATTTTTCGTACGGTTAATGGTCCGGTGTATGTAGGCGCTAATTTTGCCGCGACGGCCTCGTTTTTATTTGACAGGATGTGCACGCGCCTCCACACCTTGTCTCCGACAACAGGTTTCCAAGCGCGGTGTCGCATGTTGTAATATTTCGCTTGCTTCTGAAATGCCTGCGCGAGGTTGGCGCGGACGACCTCATATGCTTCCCGGAGGATGCGGCAATTTGTCTCGGGCGGCGATACGGTGATGTCGCGTTGATCCGCGGGGAGGGAGCTGTTTAGTTCTCGCCCATAATTTAAGAACGCCGGGCTATACCCGGTGGCTTCATGCCACGCGGTGTTATAGGCGAACTGCAACGCCTCAAGGCTGCGGTCCCAGCGACGATGATCGCGATCCACATATTGGCGAATTATCATTTTGACGGTTTTGTTCGTTCGTTTCACCGGGTTGCATTGGGGCGTGTACGCGGGGGAGGTGCGGCGTAATATTAAAGGTTTCTAACGTAATATTAAAACCTTTTTAAATTGGCCGGAGATAAACTGTCGCCCGTTGTCAGAGGGTGCGTGGACATCCGTGTCGGTATATGATGCGACTTTCGACGGCTTGCGCGACGGCGGCGGCGGTGGCACGGCGGAGTGTTATAATTCCACCCACTTTGTAAAACGGTCCTGCATCACTAGCAGCCACGAATGCCCATTTGCCGAGCGGGGTAACAGTCCTATCAGGTCAATCATATTTGTTTCCACGGATAGGACACGGGGGCTGTGTGTAAAAAGCCGGCAGATCGGTTTTGCAGGGATTTATGCGCGAGGCAATTTTAGCAATTTCGAACGTACCGGGCGGTGTCAGAAAACATGCCAGGCCAGTAGTATAGTCGCGCAGCACGAGCGATTGTTTTGGCGATACCAAGGTGGCCGGCTGTCGGTTCATCATGCAACCGCCGCAGTATTTCGATACGTTTTTCTCGCGGCACGCATTCCTTCCACTGTTTGTCGGCCGGGACCTCGCGAAAGTCGGTCGAATGTAGGAAATGGCGACATAGCTTCCCGTTCTCGATCCGATATTCGGGGAAATCGGCAGGTCTTCCCTTCACCCGTTGGAACTGCCGCTTATACCAAGGGCATTGGATTGCCTGGCGAGTGGAATGCACGGGTATTTGTCGAGAAAGCACGTCGGCCACGCGGTTCAGCTGCCCCCTCCGATATTTGATATCGAACGTGTATTGCTGGAGCTCGAGTGCTCAGCGGCCTAATCGTCCCATCGGAGACTCTAGGTGTTGCAGCCATCGGAGGGCCTGGTGATCGGTTATCACTGTAAACTCATAGCCCTCCAGATAGCCGCGCAGATGCCGGATTCCCCACACGATCGCTAAACATTCGAGCTCGGTCGCGCTGTAATTCCGCTCGGCCCCGTTGAGTGTTCGACTAGTGTATGTGACTACGCATTCGCCCTCCTCCAGGTGTTGCGTCAAGACTGCCCCGAGTCCGTGAGTGCTTGCATCGGTCTGTAGTATGAACCGACGAGTAAAATTCGGGCAGACAAGGACCGGAGCGGTAGTGAGTGCCTTTTTCAGTTCGCGGAATGATTTTTCTTCCTCTGATCCCCATTGCCATCTAACGCTCTTTTTAGTTAATGTGGTCAGTGGGGCGGTGATAGTGGACAAGTTCGGTATGAACCTTCTGTACCAGGAGGCCACTCCCACGAATTATCGAATCTGTTTGACACTGGTAGGTGCGGACTATTGGGCGATGGCTTTAACTTTGTCGGGATCGGTCTGGATGCGATTAATTATATGACCGAGGTATTTAAGCTCGATAAGGCAGAAATGGCACTTTTCGGGATTTAGCCGGAGGCGGGCGTCGCGCAGTCGGCGGAAAACTTCTGCGAGATATGTTAGATGTGATTCGAAAGACGGGCTGGCGACGACGATGTCGTCCAGATATACAAAAACGTGCGGTTCGAGTTCGGGACCGAGTATGCTATCGAGGAGGCGTTGAAACGTGGCCGGTGCAGAATGTAGCCCGGCATGACTTTAAATTGCATCAGTCCTCGTCCGGGTACTGTGAACGCGGTTACCGGTCGGCTTTCGGGGGCAAGGGGTACCTGCCAATGTCCCTGTTTTAGATCGAGGATAGACAAATAGCACGCGCCGCGGAGTTTGTCTAGTGTGGCGGCGATGTGTGGCAGCGGATACGCGTCTCGCTCGATCACTTCGTTTACCTTGCGGAAATCAATGCAAAACTGTCATTTGCTGTCTTTTTTTCGGACGATCACGACGAAGGAACTTCACGCGCTGGAGGAGGGCTCGATGACGCCTTCATCCTCCATCTGTTGCACTTCTTCGTCTATAATTTTTTGCATCGCGGGATTTCGGGGGCGATACCGTTGTTTGATCGGTACAAGGGTTTTTACTCGGATGACATGTGTAATGCGATCGGTGGGCCCTTTCACGCCCTCGAATTTGGCCAGTTCGACATTCAGGAAGGTCATTAATTCGCGTTCTTCTCGGGGCGTGCGGCGCGTTAAGCCGGCGGTGACGGCATAGGAGGGGTGACATTGTTCGGTGGTTGTGGATGGAGGGAGCAGTGTCAAGCGGAGGCAGGCCCATAGGTCTATGCCGATCAGGATCGTACTGTCTAGGGTCGGTAGGATCTGGAAGGTGTGGCTGACATCTTTGTGGTGGGTGGTTAAAGGCAGAGTGATCTTTCCGTTAATATGGGCGAGTGCCCCATCGGCTAAATGGATCTGGCTTTCGGCGGGGGTAACTTCGTAACCGATTTCTTGAGCGTAGCGCGCGGTCTCAGAATTTATTATCGAGATTTCGGATCCCGTGTCTAGGAGTGCGGAGAAGTTGCGAGTGCCGATTCGGACGCGGATGTGTGGACGAGGTGTATATTCTACGTCCGCGAGTTTGCCGGGGTGCGTTGTTGGCGGCCCCGGCCATTGAGACGTTTCCCGGAGGGGGTGGCATTCTTTTATCAGCACCCCGTCTTTGCCGCATTGCGAGCAAAATTTCTGGGGAGGTCGTTTGCACGAGAACCGATCGTGACCTCGTTGCTTGCACCTCCAGCACGTATTCTGGCGATCATATGGGGATTGGTTGCGACGGAGCGGCCGTATTCACGCGTCGACATTCTCGTCCTTTTTTATTCTCTATTTCGCGAGCTTTTTGTATTTCTTCGTATTCGGTGGCTTGGTCGGTAAGATCGTGCAACGTGGTCCTTTCATTAATCCGGACGAACATTTTATACTCGGCCCTCATGTTTTCGTAGAGTCGGTCTATTTTCTCTAGTGTCGAGTGATTTCCTGCGCGGCGCATTAACGTGAACATATGCGTGACGTACTGCGAGAAGGTTTCGCCGGGGTGTTGCCTCCGATCGCGAATTTCTTGTGCTAGTTTTATCTGATACCGACGCGGTAGGAAGTAACGGCGGAAATCGGTTAAGAAATCGTCCCAGCCCGACCATTCGTTCTCGTTATTGCGATACCATGACAGGGCATTGCCTTTAAGCAATTCGGGCAGTCCTTCCAACATTTTCGTTGGAATATCGGTATTGTCTCTGCAATTCGGTAAGCCTTTCCAGAAAGGAGAGAGAATCGTGGCCGTCGAAGTGGCACCCTCATTTTCGGATTTGATTCATGGTCTTTGCGTGACCCAGTTCTGCCGAGGGTAAGCCGGGAAGCGGTGGGGTGACCGTGGATGGTTTGGTGTCGGTGGATGTTCCGGCTTTTACGGTAGGCATAATGTGCGGATGAATGTTAGCGTACGTTCGTAATCGACGGCGGAGGTCTTCGAGAGTCGCGGTTGTGTCGAGACCGAATGACTGTGCTACACGAAGGACGTCTTGTTTTGAAAGAGTTTGTACCCAGGCTGGCATCTGCTATCCCCTTTTTATTTATTTCTTAAAACGGTCCCTATTCGGGCGCCATGTAACGGTACGTCCCTGCGCGCTCGGTTTTCTTCCTCGGCACGGACGCGGGAACGTGCGCTCGGTTGTTGCTTGTCGGATGCCGGGTTCGGGAGAAGCGGTCGCCGGGCTTTAATTAATTTACAATAATTTGTGTGACGTATCTCGCTGCGCGGTCGTTCGTTGTCGTTTTTCCACCGGTCGCTTTGCGATGCTCATAACGCGATTCGATTGCGGATATGACGGATGCCGGGAGTCGTATCGGTAACGCGTTGCCAGGCAACCGGGTCCGCGCGTGTGCGTTGCTAGGCAACCGTCGACGCTGGCCGTGACACGTGGGGCGGATGTCGCGGGAAAGTCCGAGAACGCTCCGATTTTTGGGATGAGATGGAGCGACAATACTGAGAACGCTCGGTATTGTCATGAGGAGAAAAATCCGAAAACACTCCGATTTTTCTCGAGAAGGAATAGAACAAGTATACGGAGAACGCTCGGTATTCTTTGAGAGAATCTTCTCTCGCTGTTATGGTCGGAACGGTTGTTTGTAACGGACAAGTCGGAGGAGCGGATAGGACTGTGTCTTTTTCACAAAATTTGTCGGGTATTTATACCCGTTTCTGCGCCACGTGTCACCGTTTAGTTGGTTAAGCGTTTGTTAAGTAAAATAGCTGATCACGACGTCGATGCGTGCCGACAACTCGCCGGCGCGCGTGTGTCGGTCGGTCGCGGTCGGGAGTGTTCGGGTGGCTCCGGATGGTGCGGGCCGCATTAGCGCGCGCTAGCAACGGAGCATCTTTCGGATGCTCCGTTACAAAAGCAAATGGCCAATTCACAATTACGAATTGTAACGGATTGGTAGCAAGTTTCATTTTGATATTTATTGGATAAGATACAAAAAGTAAATGGCTAATCTACGAGGTTTGAAAAGTCCATGCAAAAATGAAAACTACTTAATTTTTTATTCTTCAACGTAGTTTCCATTTAGGTTTATACACTTTGTCCAACGCTACTCCAGTTTGTTGATCCCTTCCGAATAATATGGTTGGTCTAACTATGCAAAATAGGCATTCGTTTTCGCAATCACCTCCTCGTTTGAATGAAATCTCCTTCCCACTAGCCATTTCTTCGCATTGGGAAATAAGTAATAGTCCGAGGGAGTCAAATCTGGAGAATAGGGGGGATGAGAAACAAGTTGGAACCGTAACTCCATCAATTTTACGGCCACAACTCCGAAGGAGTGAGCTGGTGCGTTGTCGTGATGGAAAAGGACTTTCTTGTGGTTTAATCGTGGACGTTTTTCTTGTAGCTCAGTTTTCAAACGATCCAATAACGATGAATAATATTCACTGGAATAGTTTTACCCTTTTCTGTATAGTCGATGAATATTATTCCTTGCGAATCCCAAAAGACAGTCGCCATAATCTTTCTGGCCGAAGGAATGATCTTCGCCTTCTTTGATGCAGATTCCCCACTGGCAATCCATTTGGACTGTTCTTTGGTCTCAGGCGTGTAGTGGTATATCCATGTTTCGTTCACAGTGATGAAACGACGCCTAAAATCCTGTGGATTCCACTGGAACAGTTGCAAACATTCCTTGGAACACTTCACACGATTTCATTTTTGATCAATTGTGAGCAATCGTGGCACTCATCTTGCAGATAACTTTTTCATACCTAAATATTGATGCAAAATATTATGTAACCGTTCACTCAAAATGCCCACAGCACTAACAATCTCACATATCTTGATTCTTCTATTATCCATTACCATATCATGAATTTTATCAATGATTTCTGGAGGAACCTCAACAGGGCCAGAATGTTTAGCGTTACTTGTGCTCCATATGGCCACTCCGAAACGTTTGAAACTATTTATAAACTGTTCTAATTGAAAGTGCAGATTCCACCATAATGTTTATTAAGCTTCTTTTAAGTCTCCTGAGGCGATTTGGTTTTCATAAAATAATGCTTGATCAACACACGAAATTCTCTTTCATTCATTTTTTAGAAATTATTCGACTTCCTCGATTCAGACGAATGCCAAATACAGAAATATTAGGTGTACAAAAAAAGTTCTGAGCTTTAGATTTCATACAACCGAAATAACAATTTAAATTTTATATATCTTTCCGCCCTTTTGCGGTTTTGCGTTGATATTTGGCCTTCTAAAATGCCATACGATTTGGCGTTTGATGCACATAACTTCAAAAATCAGTAGTGTTCACGATGGCAATAAAAGAGCATATTCGATTTTCCATCCACTTCGTGTTTCATCTGAAGAAAAATGCTGCTGAAGCCACTGCAATGATTTGTGCTGCATATGGAGAGAATGCTGTAAGTCATACTACATGTAAAAGATGGTATCAAAAATTTCGCCAAGGAGATTTCAGTCTTGAAGATGAACCGCGTGCTGGACGCCCTCAAAAGATTGAAACGGACGAATTGCAAGCACTGCTGGATATAAACTCTGCGCAAACTGAAAAGGAGCTTGCAGAACAGCTTGGCATTACGCAGCAAACCATTTCCGTACGTTTACATACGATGGGAAAGGTTCAGAAGGAAGGCAGATGGGTTCCGCATGAATTGCCCGAAGACAACAAAAATCGTCGGCGTGACACTCACTTTGCTTTCAAAATTCCGGAAAAAAGATTTTCTGCACAAAATCATTACAGGCGATGAAAAGTGGATTCTTTATGATAACCCTAAACGTAGAAAATCATGGGTTGACCCTGGTCAACTTTCGACATCGACGCCAAAGCTCAATATCCACGCCAAGAAGGTTTTGCTCTGTATCTGGTGGGATTGAAAAGGTTTGTTGTATTACGAGTTGTTACAACCGGGTAAAACAATCACGGCAGACCGCTACCAACAACAATTGACCAATTTGAGCGATACATTAGAAGAAAAGAGGCCATTTACTGGCCAAGGACGTCGTAAAGTGATCTTATTTCATGACAATGCTCGACCACATGTTACGAAAGCGACTCAGGACCATATCTTTGCGTTAGGCTGGGAACTTCTCCCGCACGCGGCGTATAGCCCAGACGCCTTCCGATTACTACCTATTCCGGTCGCTGCAGCATCATTTGGCTAATACACATTTCATGAGATTTGAAAAGATACGAAAATGCATTGATGACTTTATCGCTTCGAAGCCGGTGAGCTTCTATCATCAAGAAATTCGCAAGCTACCCGAAAGATGGCAAAAGGTCGTTAATGCAAACGGGGAATATTTCGCTTATTAATATTTTGTTTGTTTTTGAATAAAGATTGAATTTTACAAAAAAAAGCTCAGAACTTTTTGTACACCTAATAGATCTGGCTGAAACTTGGTGTGTGTTCTTCCAAGAGATGCTACTAACTGAAAATAACCTCGATACATATCAGTAGTGCTATCTTTCTGACTTTGCACGGACTTTTCAAACCGCCCTCATATATTTGCGGATTTAAATTAATTGGTCGTACGTTTCATTTTTATGCACATTAGATGAGATACAAAAAGTAAGTAGCCTAATCTATAATTAGTGATTCAAATGGTCTACGGATAGAAAATAGATTCAAAAAATCCAAAAATTTCATTCGACATCGCTTTAATGAATAATTTTCAATATTTTCCAATTATTTCTCGTTTACTGGGTTGATATGATTATTTTTCTAATGATATCGAATTTTTTTGTGTAAAACTCTTTTTAACATGGTTTTTAACTTTGAAACTAAAGGATTTACAAAAAAAGGAAATGAGAAAAAAATGTTTGTTATAAGGCCCCGAATTCGCTTAAATTATTATTAATTGATCGAACTCTTATTCTCTCTCTCTCTC